AACACATGCTTCTCTTCTCCTTCTGTAATCCACCAGGGACTCACGCCCCATTTGGTTCCCATTAGCATAGCTCTGGTCGCTCTGCCCCGTGTCAAAGCCCAGACGCACAGCTGCACAAAGGACAGGGACCTCTGGCTCTGAGACTGAAAGCCGCTGGGCTCAAAACCAGAACTGCCATGGAGGACGGGCCTTACACTGTGGGGATTTCAGAGCAAAGCCTCCCGTCTTTCCTGTACAATACAGTTTCCCCATGTGCAGCAATCACAAATTGACACTGATGTCAATGCACAAATGATTAATCGCTGTTAATTTTGTAACACTTTGTAAGGCAGGAAAGCTCTGTTTCAAGTACAATCCAATGTACAAAATCAAACAAGCAGAAATTAGCTTTGGCATGAGGTATTTGCTCCCCTGTATTGCTGTGTCTGACTACAAAGACTTTCTTTATTCAGCGTGTTTTATTTGTCACCTGTTTCCAATATGGACATTGTGAAGTCCTGATCTATCCGACGGAGCCAGGGCCTCGTTTTATGACACGCAAAGCTGCTGTGCCTCTTTTCCTACACACGTTTGCTGCACATTTCTGGCAGGAAATTGACAGCATTTCAGCAGCTAACTCATGGATGAGATAATATCTTGTGGGTGGAAGAGAGGACAAGATGCTCCCAGTGTTTTACAGTGACCCTAAGCAGAGACAAATCTAAATCTGAAGCTGCTGCTGCTGCAAAGCCGAAGCACACACACACACACATGCGCACGTACACACAGGGTTTTCATTTAAATCTCGGGCTTTGCTTAACTCACCAAACAAGAAATGTGGTCTGTGGCTGTGTGTTGAACATGGTAAAGGTTTCAATTAAAGTAGGAGGAACAATACCCGACCAGCATCCAGCAGCTGTCTGCGTTGGCTTTCCATTGTACGCTGTCAAGGGAGGAAAACAGAGAGGATGACATGTACTAGTGGTGTTTTAGTGGTGTTTTCCGTGGCATATGTCAACCTTAAAATATGACACGGTAGTAAAACAGTTGCACAGGATGTTAGTTTGATTTAATCATCAGTAATATGGTTCCATATGCCTTTTTGCAATGGCCAAAGCTCTGTCTTTGTTGACCTCTACATGTGCTGCTTGGTTTAGGAATGGATTCATTTGCATATTCCGGCAAAGATTCAATGTTTCCCGTCTTTCCCAGCCTGTTTCAAATCCTCTTTGGATCAGACTACAAGAGTCCAGGCTGAATCCATCTTGTTCTGCCGCTCCTCCTTCCTGCAGTTCTTCAGTCCATCTGTCCCACTAACAGTCTTTTAATTGAGAGTCCTCCTCAGTCTGATGCTGGCCATTGCTGCCTGTCAGTGTTTATACAATTGGGCTGGGACAGGGACTGCGAGCCAAGCAAAACATCCATGAAACATCAAGCCTCCAGCTAAACAAAACCCAGCAGTGAAGACACACACTCTTGAGCCAGATAAGGGCCGAAAACGATGCTCTCTGTACGTGGCGAGGTTAAGTTGTTGACCGTAGCGGTAACACGGCAGCTGTGTGAGAGTGTCGACTGTTGTCTGGGTCTAATTGCTACAGCATTTGTGGGCTTTCAATAGCAGCTTTCAATTCCTAGCTGCTCAAATGATCTACAAAGTCTCACACACACTCGCTCACACACACCCCCTATGTCCTTTTCCTCACCGTCGTCCTCTTTCGTTGCGTGCCAAAGAGGAAACCCTGGCGAGACGTTAGCACAGTGACTAATACTGTGTATCTGGCCGGGCCTCAGATAACAGCCTCCTCCCCCGCCTGCTGTGACAAAATATGTGCGAGTGTAGCATTGGGATCCGGGCCCAAGCTTGTCCCTGACCCAACCCAGGCCAGACACAGGTTAAACCACGGCCAAATGCAGCACAGATCCACGCTGGCAACAGAAGCAGAGCTCTTCGGTACGTGAGCAACATGTGAAGAAGTTATTATATTCTTGTTTCCTCTGACAAGCCACACGCACACTCACATCCTCAATGATGTTGCTTTTGATGGCCATGCTTGAAACATCCGTCAGTTGCCTCTTTTTAAAAATCTCTGTAATCAGTCTGTAATCTTTCATGCTATTGCGTAGGATCAATGTTGATGCCGTCATATCACAAACACCTCTTGAGTTACTCTTCTGACACATGAATTTGGAACAATCCCGAGAAATAACAGGCACAGGAAATCGTCTCCCTTTCTCTTTTTCCCGTCAGTACCTCTTCAGTTGAGGGGGGGGGGGGGGGGGGGGCTTGCTGCTTTAATGCTTCTTAATGCTGCTGTCTGCTTAATGGGCCAGATATGAGAGGTGCTGCTAGCCAGCGTAATAAGTCAGTGATTAGAGGGCGCCTTGTCACAGCAGCAGCCCCGCAGACAGTGGCACGCTCTAATTGCCGTATTAGACGCCCCTTAACTATCTTGTCAGCTGTCAGGCCCCAGCTCGTAAACAGCAGAGGTGCATTTGATATTTCCAATTGTTTATTTCCGTCTGCTGCTCTTAGCCTTGCCGCACGGGGAGGTAATTAGTAAAGGGTTGTTTTGTGTGACAACACTGTGCTAAATCTGGGTACTGAAAATAGAGTTCGCAAAATCTTTACGTAACGAGAGTTATATAAAAAGGGAAAAGCTCCTGTGGCAAAACATCTGACAAGGAATCGTACTCAACATTTGAAAAGTGGCCAGTGTGAAGCAAATACAATTATTGAGATGACCAATTGATGTGATAATTATTTGCGAGTTTCTTCTCTCTAAAATGATTCAAAAGTAAACTGACACAGTCATTTGCAATTTCCCAGAGCAAAAAAAGCGACGTTTTTATCATCCAAAAATATTGACCGTCCAACGGTGAATAACATAGAATACTGCATGTGAAAGTGAAGAACAGCATTATAAATCAGCTTTCTGAGTCTATCCTGAATCTCAAAGGTCCCAGGCTTCGACCCCATCAACAGTCAATGAATGTACATTGACAGCCATGTCCGCTGCATATGTGTCCTTGAGGGGAACGCTGCACTCTCTCATTGCACAGTGCTCGGGATAAGAACGTCAGCTCAGTCAGTACATTATGTATGTACACTCCGACTGACACACGGCGTGTAATCCTCACACACGGTGAGGATTGCCGTGCCCGCACCTGGAGAGCTTAAAAATGGTGCAAAGTCAAATAATCTCCTCCGTCTCCTGTCTTTCCAGTGTCAAACAGCGAGGTGACATGGTTAGAAGTGGTGTAATTTTGCGTTTAATCTGGGATAAACCCGTGTTCACTTTGACACCTCCAGTTACTAATCTGGTTTACGACACTTTAGGGCGAGCAAGGGGGGGATTGTAGTAGATTTTGTGGTCCCTTAGTAGATTAAGAGCGAGCTTAGTTTTATATCCTGAATTACAGGATATTGGTCTAATCCACAGACTAGGTAATGCTATTTCCTGCTGTTAGACACAGAAGGAGCACTCACGTCAATACTGGTGAACCTCAGTAGAGAGCTCACATTTTTCTGTCATCAGTGATCATGCGTTGACCTCAGCTGTGTGACGTAAAGCTGATCTTTTCTATCTCAAAGTGCTGATCTGACATTTTGAAATGGAGCCCAGACATGGACTCCAACCTACGACCCTGTATGTGCATGTCTGTGTCACATTATTGTCACACTGCGGCCTTATAAGAATTACAGAGAAACAATATGAGATAGCATATTTAGTGCGGCTTGTAAATCCATAAAGTGTCATGCTTTGATAAGTAGTGCTTTTGGTGTGAGGACAATTCTTTCTCACCGTCTCTGACAGACCCTCATGTATCTCTGCAGATAACACCTGACAAGTTTCCTTAGTACTAGATCATTAGGCTTTTCCTGTCAAAATAAATAGGCAGCTACTCACAGCAGTCACCTTGTACACTAAACCCAATTTCCTCCCGCATTCCTGAAATATTTTATTTTCCTTCCAGCCTAAAGAATTACCACCCTCAGGCATTCGGCCCTGACTCAACACCATATGTGCCCGACTTAAAATAAATGATTCTTATCGTGTGGAGTTGCTGTTTATTATACCGTGCTATTAACTTTTCATTCTAACATCAGCAGCCAACTTACTTGCACTACATGTCAAAGCTAAAGAAATACAATATTTGATTTAAGGAACAGATAAGCGTGTTTTCAGAGTGAAATGGTTTGACTTCTTTTACCTCCCATATGCAAGTTTGCTGCACCGAAAGCTGTAGATTCAGGCAGTTTAGGTTGTAGAAATGCATAAGTAATATATATAAGTAAACTATCTTTATCCATCTTGATAATATAAAGTAATGTGTGGTAAACAGAAGTGAAGATTTTTTTGATTCTGTCTTCTTGTTTCTCCATGTCATTGAGAAATGTACGACTTGCAGCTGCTGCACTCATTTGGGTGACAGAGCTGTCAGGAGGAATTGTGTGTATATCATACGTTTCCTCCGCTGCTGTAAGATCTTTTAATTGTTTAAAACATGTGAAACATCCTACGGGATCCAATGACCTCCCTGCAAAATGTACCTGGATGTTTTGTCGGTTTTGAACGGCCCTTCATGAAGGCTGAAGCAGACTGTACCGAGTTGCCCCCGTCAAAGTCTGGACACTTAACCTCTCACTACTAAAAGCTTTCCGGGGTCAGACTAAGTGCAGCTTTAGTGTTGAGTAATGGAGCCTCAGTCAAAACAAGTTACATTTCTGTGTTTTTCAGGAAAGGAAGTCCTTGGTCGGTTCTCATGAACTCTGGGAAATGACAGTATGGGGAGGCAGACTCACACATTGGAAAGTTGTTTGGAAATGTGGTGGCTGGGTAATCTTTTTGTGGCAGTGGCTGCCAACGTGCCAATTGTCACTTTTTACGGAAACGTTTGAACACGCTTGTATGGCTGCTGCTATGATAACTGCTCTCTCTCAGTCCTTGCTTTATCACCTCTCCTCTGTACTCCAGCCAGTGATTGATGTGTTTGTCTTTTTTCTGATTCTGTCTCTGCAGGCCATTCGCTGCACACTAGTGAACTGCACATGTGAGTGTTTCCAGCCGGGGAAGATTCACCTACGCACATGTGACCAGTGCAAACATGGCTGGGTAGCTCACGGTGAGTGATTTCATTTTCATTTTTAGGTAGCTGGTGGGCGTATCTGAATATGTTGTAAATAAATATTAATTTAGTGACTGATGCTCGTATAACTATCTCCTGTTGCCGTGGTGAGAAGAGAGCTGCATATCAGTACACTGTGTAGAGAAATGTACAACTGTGTCATTTCTTACTCAGTGCAGCTGCTAGATTTTCTCCGACTAAAATCCAAATGTTTTTATACATTTTCCATAGAAGAAGACACTTTTCCTTTCTTGTTTGCTTCTGTATTTTGTGGTTGCTTTCAAAGGCTTGTTTTTGCACATTTGATTCATATAGAAAAGGGGGAAAAACCACAGACCAAAAGACAGAGAAAGAAGCAAGAGACCACACCTCATGAGTTTTTCAGGCGGGTAGAGGAAAAAGGGAGAGGAGGTGCACAAGTACAAAGGGAATGAGGAGGGGAAAAAAAGAAAAAAGAAAACACCTGTTTGGCTTGCGTCCGCACAAGAGCGAGCCATGGGCCCTTCAGCGATCGCACAGGACCCCATTGACTGTTTTTTAATCTCTCCCTCTGAACTGTCAGGCACCCATCTCTCCTCTCCCCCACTTTTCATTTCATGTCGGCATTGGCAGGGACTCTGACAAGTAGTTCTTCATTTTTTATTATGTTCGTGTCTGGCTGCGCTGTGTTGTCAGGCAAAGCGCTCGTCAGCAGGAAAAAGCCGTCCCAGGATCAGAGAGAGACCCAACCAGGTGTCACCCAGACAGGCAGGGGGGAAAGGGGGGAGGGAGAGAGGGAGGTATGAGGTAAGGGGAGAGAGAAGGATTGAGACGGAGAGGAAGAAAGAGATTTGTCCAGGTGTCGCGCAGACAGCCAGAGAAGGGAGAGGTGACTGAGGTTGAGATACAACGAGCAATGACAAAACCTAACCTGTACTCACAATCATACGACTCCTCTGCCCCGAGTTTCGCCCCTCAGGCAACATACAGGCTACCCTATTGCTGAAGTTTTTTTGTCTGTGTGCAGCGGAACATACACTGAAGATACTGCTGAGAAAAGTATATGGACATTTGAAATGTATCACACAGTATCAGTTTGCCTTTAAAGAAAGTTAACATGATTTTAAGAAGGGGTTGTACAATAATGAAGTTGTATCATTTAATTTTGTTATCCTTCCAATATTATGAAAAGCATGGCATCTAATTTAATACGTTTTTTTCATCCGTGGACCTCACTGTGCCCCCGCCCACTTTAAAGTCCATAGGACAAGATAACATAAGTAATGCAAGAAAAATGGGAGATGTGAGGGCGGTTTGAAAGTGCAAGAGATTAGATTAAATAGAAAGAATGGGAGATAATTACATTAATGTCAATGCTTTTATTTCATTGATATGTTCTTATCAGCTAGTGCTGACCGCGCAGTAGCCTCCTAAGGAAGATTTGAGCTGCAACTTGATCATTAACCGGGCCTGCGTTTGTGTGTGTTTTTCTTTTCTTCCTCCGCTTCACACAGCTTTAGACAAGCTCAGCACCCAGCACCTGTACCACCCCACCCAGGTGGAGATCGTTCAGTGCAACGTGGTGTTCGACATCAGCAGCCTGATGCTGTACGGCACCCAGGCCGTACCCGTCAGGCTGAAGATCCTGCTGGACCGCCTGTTCTCCGTGCTGAAGCAGGAAGAGGTGCTGCACATCCTGCACGGCCTGGGCTGGACCCTCAGAGACTACGTCAGGGGCTACATCCTGCAGGTCAGTGACCAACACACACGCTACAGAGCCCAACACATGTGAAGCATCATAAGGATGGAGCTTAAATGTCAAGATGGCATATTAGCTGAACTTACTCTCTGCAATCAAACAACTGTGTCCCTAAATGTGCATTTAGATTTCCCTGCAATTTTCTGTGATTTCAGAAAGTGGGGATAATGTTCACAGTGATCACTATCATTTCTTTTTCACCAAGTGTATCTACAAATCTTTCCAGCATTGCAATTATTTTGAGAGTTATTGATCACAAGCACAATGGTGACAATCTTGGCCACTTCAGTCCCATTGCACATCCATTTTCTTCACACTTTCCCTGTCGTTACTTCTACTTCAGTCTGCCCCCTCTGCCTGCCCTGTGAACACTATGCCCCTCCGCTGGAAAAAGGAAAGGGATAAAAAAAAAAAAAAGAATTGAGAAAAATGTCACGCCAGCAAACTATAAAACCACTGTAGTGTGTTTCCTCTCTCCATCCATCCTTCCCCCCCCTCACATATAATTGCAGTCAGACACGTTTCTCAATCAAAGGTACGGAGGTTTTGGTGTTGAAACCCAAACCGAAGTGTTCCTGAATGAATTAGTTAAGAGCAAGTGAACATGTGCATGTGGTTAGTGTGTGTGTGCGAGTGTGTGTGTGTGTGTGTGTGAAAGTGTGTGTGTGTGTGTGTGTGTGTGTGTGTGTGTGTGTGTGTGTGTGTGTGTGTGTGTGTGTGTGTGTGTGTGTGTGTGTGTGTGTGTGTGTGTGTGTGTGTGTGTGCACATGTGCTTATCTGTATGCGTATATGGCAGTGTAAGTGGAACAGCATGGTTCGTAGCGGCTTCTGTGATTCAGATTGAGATTCAGTATTTTTATTTTTAAGTTTTAAAGAACACTTATTTAATAAATATTCTAACAGTTATTTGAAACTACAGTTTTTTTGTAAATACTGTTTACAGCTTACAGTTACAATTTAAGACTTAGAATCCATATTTTAAAGACTCATACAAAATATTTATTAAAAATCTGAAAATCGAAAACAATCGAAAATAAAATTGAACTTATAATGTTTAAAATAATACAGTTAATATTTGTATTGCACATTTTAACTTCAACCTATATTAATATGTATGTATTTTGTTCTAATATGGTGTTATATACTCTCACAAAACCTAGTTTCCCTCTGGGATTAATGAAGTATTTTGATATAGTTCAATATATTCAATATTTAATATTGATATATTCTTCATTCTGAAAAAAATATTTTTGCTTAATTGAAACAAACATATGATTCCAAATATCAATAAATCAGTTTTGTATTTTTTTGCTTAACTGGTTTATTGGTTGGTCTATTAAATGTAGAGAAAATGCCCAAGAGTTTCTTATAACCCATCTTCAAATAAACCTTTTTAGTCTGATCAAAAACATACTCTTATAATATAATAATATGAAACACAAGCTGCAAATTAACAGAATATATTTGGACATGTTTACATTATAATAACAATTGTTGCGGGGTGATAATCCTACTAACCTTTCCATCTCTAAAAAGCATTCTCAGCATTAAATATCAATATTTTCCCTGAGGGAAAGTAACTAAAAGCTCCAAATCTGCAGTGTGAGAATGCCTTGTATTGAGTAACTGTGGTTCTCATAGTCGTAGAGTCTGTGTTTGTATCAGCTGGCTCTAATAGTCAGCTGGTGGGAGCACCGTTGCTCAACTGCTCAGCCTCATGTCACGCTACTGCTTAAATCCTCCAGATCTCCTCAGAAGGGCTTCAAAGGGGCCGCGGCCGGCGAGAGGCAGCCAGTCACTTAAGGACAGTAAGCAGTCATTGTACGGCCCTATTAGCCTGTAAGTAGCTATGAAATTCAATCATCTTCCCGAGCCTCCGGGCAACGCTTTGTGTCAGGGGTTTGTTCCCAACACCACGCCGTGCCAAATGAGAGATGAAATGAGAACAGCATTGCAGATGGAAGATAATAAGTTGTCTTTTTGATAGCGGTGTAGCATTATTTGGGGATGAATTACTTTCCCGTGATAGCAGTCAATTGCTCGCTTATACTGATTTTGAATTTGAATACGTGTTTAGGCCATAGGTTAATTACTATTTTAATGAGATATGCTTTAAATCTCGATAATTGTACAACAAAAACACCTACTTTTTATAAATTATAATCTAGTCAAGCCTTCCTATAACACATTTCACATAGTGTTTGACGGTTTTGGCTCTGATTTCCCTTCCCTCTATTAATATACCTCCTAATTTCACGCGACTAGTTTGTCACAATAACTTTCGGTTGAGAAAGAAAGAAATGTGTGTTTGTTGCATTATGTTTTTCTGGGTGTCAGTGCGTATGGGTGTCAGTGATGCGCCAGAGAACTCAGGACATTGAGCTGACAGAGTATAGCTGCAGCTCCTCTGATGCCTGACCACCTGAACGTATGTGCTGCAGGAAGAAGAAAAACACACTCTCAGATTTTCAACCAATCACAAAGCAGAAAAACACAGACGCTGTATGGCATCAGTATTCTGTCTTTAGACCAAAATATTCCCTCTCTATTTATTAAGCAAGCTAAACAGCGAACAGGTCAGAAATCATGTATCATATATACCCATAATGACACATTTGTATTGTTAGTGCTATGATTTAGGAAAGGAAAATGCCAGTGTTTTGGCCTAAATACAACACTTATCCTATCCAATAACAAAACTAGTCACAAATAAAATTTTAAGTTGTGTTCCGTGATATTTTAGACATATGAGGAGGTGGGTTTCTGTCTGTAAGTGCTTCTGACTAAGGTTGGGGATATTCAAGATGACATGAGGGAACGCTTAGCTGCTCTTCCTCAGCAAACACAGCTTCAATCATTGCATCACTTACAGTACGCGTACATTGACGTATGAAAAGTCTGGAACTGTCACTCAAGTTTTGATGATTTATCACAGAATCATCACTGTTTACCTCCCACATTCGCCCCAATGTATTCAGGGCACTACCATCATTAATACCACTGTTATCTGGTATTCTGCAGGAAAAATGTCAAACAGCAAAAGTAGAAATATGTCACCATAGCATTTTACACGAGGAAGAATTAATTGATGTCGACATCCAAGATCCACTTTGCCCTCTTCCGTCCTCTCTGCCATTTACTGCATGACAGGAGTAAACTCACCGTAGAAGTGTGACTAAATGTGCGTACACTTTGCAATTTTTCGATATAATAGGCTCCTTAAACTGCAGTCGTGAATCAATATTATTAAAAGCGAGATGGCTCATCAAGTGGTTAGAATTTAGATTTGTAAAGAAGAGGAATTATACATGACATCAATAACCATTAAAATGAATGATTGTCTTTGCTTTGAAGCCTGACCTTCAGTCTTATAGCTTCACTCTTGTTCACCAGCACATCCACACAGTCAGCTGCTATAGTATTACTATATCAAAATCTTGCAATAAAAAAAATATATATATATGTTCAATACCTACATATATCATATCAAAAAACTAAAAGGAACAGGAGCAAGAGGTAGCTTTTATTTATTGAAATTACATTTTTTTTTAAGAAAGAAGTCAAATAGCCTTTGTTTTAAGGCTTGAGACAATTCATAAATAAAATAATCTAAAGATTTTAAAACTGTCCTGTATATCCCTGATCTAACTTTGTGAGTGTGAAAACGTGAAAATCACAAAATGACAGCTCTGAGGTTACCACCTGAAAGTGATGACAGAAAGTTATGAGTGTCATATTTTTTTCTTCCTTTTACCCGTCTTTATTTCTCTGCTCTTTCACCGGTTTAAAAGTGAAATCCAAGGCATTTTGTGAACACCACAGACACACTGATTCATTGCTAAAATTCCTTGCCCCTTCACTTTGGCATGACTTTCCCCTCCTCCTCCTTCTCCTCTCCCCTTCATCCTTTCCTCCCTCCCATGTGCTCATCCCTCTCTCCTCTCCCATGGTTGTTTCCAGACAGACCCAAAGCCAATGTGCACCAGATGCCCCCGCCCCCCCCTCTCTCCGTCCCACGGCCTGTCACTGCTCACTACTGTGTTCGATACAGACAGATGGAATTGCTATCAGTCCTGGCTCCTCTCTTTGCCTCAGCCTCCCGTCTCCCACACTCCAAACACTGTCTCTTTTGCCTTCCTCTTTCTTATCCCTTACCAAGTGAAAAATAAGGAGAGAGAGGGAGTGGAAAGAGAGAGAGAGAGACACACACACACGAGACTTTGCAGCCAACATATGGACTAAAGCCCAGGGTTTTCCTGAGCGACATTCTCAGTAATGTTCTGTCCTTGTAGAACATTGGGCTGCCTCCACTTTTATGAGATGTGGTTTTCCTGACTCCACACGGCTTCCAGGAGACCCAGATGGAACCGCTAACAACCCCCACCACCGCCACGCAACCACACACACACACACTGTACACACATAAACAGTCTTAACCCTAATTGCACACACACTCGGAGGAAAGCAACTATCGGCGCACACACACACACAGCCACAAACTTGTTGTCTAGGATAGGCTTTGTTTCAGTGGCAGATGCCCGGGCATGAGGGTGTGTTTAAAGTGATCAATGCCGTAACATAAGCTCCTCAGAACTCTGCTTACTACTTATTTGGTTGAATATTTTTTTAACGAGCACGAACATCGGAGGTAGTTTTGGGACGGCCGCAGGGGGGCTGTGCTCTTATTAAAAAAAATAACTTGTGACTGTAATGTTGTACATGTGTACTTACACATGTGGAATATGAGATGTAATTACATGGATTAGGGTGCGACAGCATTCGTGTAAGACAGGAAACCATTTCCAGTTGCAGGTGGGTCCTGAGGCCGTAGTGAAGGTACCAACCGGTTCCTCTATAGTGGTTTAGAAGGGTATTTATTGAGTTAGAGTCACATTTCAACATTTCTCTCTTTTTTTTCTCTCCTCTCTCCGCACTCCCCCTCTCCATTTTCTGTCTCTCACTCTGTCAACTGTGAAGGGCACCATATCTCT